CGACGCAGTTTGATCGCGCGACGACGGAGACCCTCAGCAAGCACGTCAAGTTCAAGACATCGCTCAAGGTGCGCTTCCCCTCCTTCTTCGTCCTCTGGCGATTTCTCACCCGCACACGCAGGGCCACCTCTCCACGTACCGCCTGTGCGACGACGTGTGGACGTTCTTCGTGCGCAACCCGAGCTTCAAGATCGAGGGCGGCGAGCTTGTGCAGGCCGACCGCGTGAAGATCATTGCGGTCAAAAGCGAGCAGGCCACGGCTGCGGAGGCGAAGGCGAAGCAGCCTAATAATGCTAGTTAGGGGTGCGTCTGTGCGTTTGGTGGGGTGGAGAAGTGCGAGGAAGCTGATGCTGCTGCAGGTGCTTGTGCTGCGGTGGACTCCCTATCCACATACCGTCAATCCACCTCCTATTGCGCAGTAGTCTCTCGGTTATTCCAGAAAAAACACGGCTTGGACCGCTCAGCTCCGCGGTACGGCTGATATACATCACTCGGCCGGAGGCCATACTATGCTTACTTCTAGAAGTTATCCTGTCTGTACGATTACCCGCTACGCAATGTACTCTAATGCCATCAATCGATCATGCTATGTATGCGCTGGGTGATAGGATATGCACTCAATGAGCCTGTGCGTGTAAGACGGTGTATGCAACTAGCGCGTATAGCTGGGTGGACTGGGAAATAATGTCGTCGCTACCTGTGTCACCGAACGAGGCTTTGCTGGAGTGATGGGTAACATTATTACACTCTGCTCCGCACTATCGACAAGCCCTCACCACCCGGCCCATCCCAGCTCACCCGGCCTACGTAGTCTTCATAAAATTCTGATACCTGATCTTCTCCCTATTCTCCCTCCTCATCTTCCTCCTCTCCTCGTCCAGCTCCGCGCGCTCCCGCTCCCACTTCTCCTCCTGCGTCTCAGTAGCGATTCTGCGCTCCCTCTCCCTCTCCCTGGCCAGGCGCTCCTGCTCCTCCCTAGCGGTGGCGTTGCGTGCCTGCTTAGCCCCCTTCTTCCCTGCGGGGGGCGTGTCGTCCAGCAGTGTCCAGAGCCATGCGGGGTAGGCCTCGTCCGCTTTCGCGACGAGCGGGGGGGCATCTTTGAGGTATTGGATGCCGGCGAGGATGGTCCCCTCGGGGCAGGAGGATACCGCTGCACGCATGTTAGCGCGCTTGGGGCACAGAAGGGGGAGGACGGGAGAGCGTACGGGGTGGTTTCGCTTTCTTGTCTGCGGGGGGAGGGGTGGCTAGCCCCCTGCGCTGCGCCCTACATATCCTTGGGGCGATGCGGGTGATGGAGAGGGACGAGCGGGAGGTGCCGACCCAGAGGGAGGCCATCCTGGTTTGCGCGGGAGGGGAGGTGGTGAGGAGGACGCACCTCCGGGCGAGCGTCGAAAATGGGGGAGGTGCTTCTGCACCGCCACATGCGCGGGTGACCCTGAGCTGCCTGGGAGCGCGCCTCCCTAGCTCTGTGCCTTTCTGTACTTGTATCTCTAGCATTTACTGCTCGGCGGCTTCTAGAGACTGCGTAGGGATGGAGCTCCGGCGCAAAGAGCGCATCTCCTACTCGTCCCTCTTCGAAGCCCCGTCGGACGAGGAGCCCGAGGCCGACCCCAACGCCGACCCCGCCGCTCCTGCCAAAGCAGTGGGCAAAGCCCGCGTCCACGCACCCGAGAGCTCAGACGAGTCAGACGTCTACCAGCCCGAAGGCGACGACGCTCCCCTCTCGGACCACGCGCTCCCCTCCGATGCTGAGCCCTCGGAGCCTGACGACGGCCCTCCTGCTGAGGAGGACGGGGACGACTCTGGCGCCTCAGCCGGCGGGCCTGCCTCGCGGAGCGCCGCGACGCGCACGGGGCGGAGGGGTAAGCTTCCCAAGATCTTCCAGCGCATGCCTTCGCCGCCCGCGAACGCGCCCAAGCGCGTGCAGCTCACCCGGCTCGCACCCGCCCCGCCTAACAAGAACCAGGCGACGCACCAGGCCAAGTACTCCTCCCGCCTTCGGGCGACGTCGCTCTACTTCCCGCCCAAGGCTAAGCGGCTTGCAAGAGAGCCGGAGCCGTACGGGTTTGATGGGTGGGGCGAGGAGGTCCCTACGACGAGCGCGGACCGGAGGGGCGTGCTGAAGCGGTTGATTCAGGCTCATGCGAGGTGCGAGGGCGGGCCGAGGTGGGAGCTGCTCGAGGATAGGGCGTGGTGGAGGGAGAGCACGGCGCAGGAGGACAGGCCGAGGGTGTGGGAGGGGCTCAGGATCAAGAGCGCGGGGGTGACCGTGCTTAGTCTCGAGTGCGTCTTTCCTGTGTGTCTGTATCCTGGGGATAGGTGTGCTGACCAGGTGCAGGGAAGCGACGCCGTACCTCCCCTCATCGGCCGTACTCACAGAGACAGGCGCCTCTCAGCCTCCCCCACCATTAACATGCCACTTCGGCCTTTTCGATTCCCAGCAAAAGCGCACCGTGCCCCCGCTCTCCTCCTTCCCACTCAGTACGTTCCTCCCCGACCCCCTTCACGCCGTTCAGGGTATTTATTAGCCCATGTGATACAGAGGAGCATATCCCCACCTCCCGCGAGCACATCCTCAACGCCGGCGCGCCCGTGCACTCCCTCGCCTGGTGCCCCGTGCACCCTTCCTCCCAGCCCGCCGGCCGAGCCATGACACACCACCTGGCCGTCGCGCCCTTCCTCTCCTCGCTCGACCAGCCCACCATCGGCCAGCGCTCCTCGCTGGGCAGCGTCAAGGGCTGCATACAGATCTGGAGCTTCGCCCCGCAGGGAGCGAGCTGCGAGATGGTGCTCTGTACGGAGGAAGGGCCGGCTTGGCAGCTCGCGTGGTGTCCACTGCCCGCGGACGATGTGGTGCGCTTAGCTCTCTTCCTCCACTTCATTCATGTTCAAGGCAGCGGTACTGATGTGGTTATGCGGTAGGAGGAGAAGAAGGGCACGGTGCGCAAGATGGGCCTGCTGGCCGGATGCTTCCGCTCGGGCCACCTGAGCATATATGCAGTCCCCCACCCGGATGCGCTCCGGGCTCACATCGCCCCTAAGCAGAAGGGGAAGGCGCGGGCACGGGAGGGCGATGTGCCGGGGGAGAAGGAGATTCTGCATGGTACGTGCTTTTTGCTTAAGGTGGGAGAGAGAGGCTAACGGGAATCCAGTCAAGCTCGAGCCGGTCGCGCGCTTGGAGGTGGACGGTGCAGGGTGCTGGCGCTTCGACTGGGCCAACTCGGGGCTGATCGCTGCGGGGTGCACGAACGGTGCGTTTTTCTGAAATTGTGCGAAGCTAGGGGAGCTGAGCGGAATGCGCCAGGCAAAATCGCCGTCTTCGACGTGGGGTCGATCCTGAAAGACCCGAGTAACAAAGATCCCAGCATGTCCTATCCTCTCCTCCAAGGAGCGCAGCTGACCTGATCCAGTCCTCCGCCTCCCCACCCACTACTTCCCCGTGCACCAGAGCTGCGTCCACGGCATCGCTTGGATTCGCGGTCCCGCACAGGCACTGGACGGCACGCCCCAGCTGCAGAAAAACCCCGTTATGATTGCCTCTGGCGGGTATGACGGGCAGATGCTTCTGGTTGATATTCGGGACGGCGTGTCTGCGCAGGTGGAGCGGATGCGGGGTACGCCTGCTTTCCTACATCAGTATTGCAGCGGGAAGGCCGTAGGGCGCTGAACCTGGGATCTAGATTGGGTGACGAGCGTCCAGTTCAGCACTTTCAGCGGCGGGCCCATCTTCGTAGAGCAAGACTACCGCATCAAGCACATCTCCCTCTCGAGCCTGAACCTCGGCCGGGGCTCGACTCTGATGGATGCGCTAGGGCCCATTTGGGTACGTCCCCCCAAGGATGCAATAGTTGTGAGCGTGTTGACTCGTACACACAGAGTATCGCCACCTCGGACTACCATTCGAGTGTCGCGCTCGCGAGCGCGGACGGGATAGTGCATCTCGGCTCAAGCGGGAAGGCGCATAACAAGGGACACGTGAGTACTTCCACCCGTTTTCTGTTCCGAGGTTCTTACATGGCTGCTATAGCCGAATCTCCTCTTTCCGCTGTATCAACTGGACTATAATCGCAAGACGGGCGAGTATCGGATGCTGGATCACCTCAAACCACGAGTATGCGATGTTCCTGTCTCTGCCCCCTTCTGACCCTGACATGACCTTCGTAGGAAAGCCGTCAAGTAGAAGGATTCTTTGAGGGCAACAAGAAGCGACTGCGAGCCCAAACACGCGAAGTGTCCGAAGGGGGCGATGGCGCCGATGCGTCCGTACCCCCACCGCCGGAGAAGAGCCGGACCTCACTGACCCACGCCACGGGTGCGTGGCCGCCCCAGGTCAACATATATTGTGCAGCGTGGTGCAGCGGCTCGGGGATGGCGAGAGCACCCATGCTTGCGAGCGGGGGCGCGAGCGGGCTGGTGAGGATCGACTGGGTGCTCGGGACGTGGACGAAGGGTGTGTTCCCGTACAAGAAGATCGAGGTGCTGAGAGGGGAAGTGGATGGCGTGGATGATGCTCTGCAAGGGCAAGAGGGGGAGGAGGAGGAAGAAGACGAAGAGGAGGACGATTAATTTGATGTAATGTAGTCAGGTTATCTTGCATTGTAACGTTAATCGTCAGAGTATTCCAAATCTTTAGAAGTCCACGCTTGACGTCATGGCTTGTCATATGTGGGCAAATACCTGCTCGATATTTACTATTTGGAGGCTGCATTTTCGCTTTGCGCTTGATTCCTGTATATGTTCTGCAAGCTGCTCTGAGCACCCCAGTATTAGTAGCCTTGGCAATTAGTAAGACCTGGCCTGCTAATGATGGCCCCTGTGGTGTGCAGTGTGTCCGCGGTACGCCGTCCGAGATCCATGGTTGTGCGTTGCATGTCTATCCCTGCGATACATACGGTGCGACGTGGGTACGCACTATGCCAGAAGGCAAAGACTCGTGTCCAGTGGCGCCCTATAGCTGTCGTACATGTCGAAAATGCAAAATGGGTAAATGAAACATCGCTGCGCGCATAGCGCAGTGGTAGACGGGCATGTGCGGCCCAGAACATTATCGTGCACAAGCGCGCGAGTTCGAATCCCGCAGTGCGCCATCACTTAAAACCGGGAGTGCGAAACCACTTAAATCTATTGACTTTTTGACTATGAAGCCCGACCGCCACTCGGATGCAGACCGTGGGCGGGCACGAGCGAAGGAAGACGTTGGAATTTTCGCGGGAGCAGTGTCTCGGAGCCGGACGTCAGTTCATCTTTGTCTCCGACCGTGCGACATGGCTCCATGAGGGGGCTCGCAGCCGGACGGTGATATCGACTGGTTCTTTTGCCTCAGGGACTTCAGTTTCTGACGAGAACTGCACGCTGTCAGAGTCGCTCTCTTCCTGGTCCTTTGCACCACGAGAAAGCCATAACATTACCATCCCTGGGCATTGCAGAGCTTTCTCTACGAGGTCGACATCGCTGTATCAAGGTCGCTTGCAGCACATCCCCGTCGCTCGCAAGGCAACAGCGTCGTCCCAAATTGAACATCAATGCGCAAAGCCTTCTTTCCCACCCTCAAACCAAAATGGATACGAGTTGCAGCATCCACGAGCTTCCAGATGAGCTACTTGTGTACATCTTTGGCCTCGTCATACACCCATCAAGCGTGACTGTCCCGTTCAACCCGAACGACCCAGTATCGACACTCCAGAGGGTCTGCACGCGCTGGCGGGACCTGTTCGTCCGATCACCACGGCTATGGTCGCGTTTCGTGTTCCAACTGCCAAAGGAGATCGAGGTGAAGACCTTCCTCGACTCACTGGAGAAGAACATGAAGACGGGATTTGATCGGTGCAAAGCAGTGCCTATATCAATCATCGGCTGTGGTCCGCCCGGGCATCTGCGGACCTACGATATGGGCCCACTCGGCAAGACCTTCGAACTCATCTGCAACAGCAATGTACGCGTGGCCAGCTTAACCTTGTTCTTGACGAGGAGATCAATGGTTGTGGTCGTCGCAAGGGCTTTAGCGAGCGGGTTTTCCCACCTGGAAGACCTCGCCCTCGTCTGCGGCCCCTTCAACGCGAGCATCCTGAGCCGCGCACATTACTGGAGAATGCCACTGGCTATCAAATCAGGCTCACTGCGACGACTTCATGCGGCACACATAAATGTGATGGTGCCCAATGCTGCGGAAACACTGCCTGGTCTAGAAGTTCTGCAACTGCATAACGCAACGCTTACGGAAAGGGAATTTGGTGACAACCCGGTTGGCGACTGGATAGAAGAGGGCGCCCAGCAACCTCGAGGTGTTCTGTCTCCGCTCAACTACGCCGTGCTGGCGAAGCTGCCCCAACTTTGCTCACTACGGCTTCGCTGCGTACCACCGCCAATTCCCTCATCGGACGGTCACTGCCTGCAAAAAAATGCGGAGCTTTCCGTGATATTCGACCCTGACCGCAGTCCACAAGTCGATTTCGAAGACCAGTTTTGCCCATTATTTCGCCACATCAGGATGCCAACTCTGAAGAGATTGCAACTTGCAACAACCTGCCGGACCATAGATTCGACCATGGATGATCACATTCTAGTGGCGGCTCAGCCCCTCTTTGGCACAATTTCTTCAATTGCCCTGCACAATCTTGTGCCAAACCTGCCCTCATTTGAAGCTCTGCTGATCATGAACTCGGTCTTGGAAGAGTTGCACCTCCATAGAGGCCGGCTTTCGCCACAGCTCTTGCAATTTTTCGCCACCGTACGGTGGACGAGAAACATGCGCACGCTCAAGCTCACTGCTGTCGATTGGGAAGGCGGACCGGGACAGCGTTATTTCACGCTTCAAGAGTTGACACAGATGCTAGCCCAAAGAGCAGCTGCGACGAGCCAGCAAGCTGGGCCCCTGCGAACGCTTCACATCGATAACTGGATGCCCCTAAGTTCCACTCCCACCTGTACGGAAGATGACACAGCACAGCTGACGCAGGTCGACGATGCGATCATCCACAAGCTTTCAGAATATGTCGAGATAGTCAGAGTGATCAGCCAGCAGGAGACCACGGAATGGGAGTACAAGTCATTTGGGCCAATCGAGCTGGGGTACGAACCGTGGTAGACAGTCGTTTCCGGCAATTGCGAGCAAGGCGAGATCAGAACTTATCGCCCATGTCCTTGTATTATTTGAATGGATTTCGGTGTACTGGGAGTGGGGAATTGTATACACACTCAAGTCATGTTTTGTTTGAGATCCGCTGTTGTTTCACTGGATTCGGGAAAGGAAGGATAGGAGGTTGCACTGCACCCGCTAACGTGCCGCGGTGCGGAACTGAGAAAGCTTAGGTTTCCATGACGTTTCCGTATATTTGTCTCCGCTGATGCGTGCCAGTACTAGTTTCCAGCATGATCTGCCCCCGCTGTCCAACCGTCCCTCGACGGGCGCTGCCGTCGCATCACTCGCTCAGCTGCCCACAACGCTGCCTCCCTGCTGCACCCGTCCTCGACCGCCTCCCGTATTCCCGCCGTTCTACCCGCTATAATCCCCATTCGTCAGCAATACAAAATCATCGAACACGGAGCTCGATGCCCAACAGCCAGCAACCACCACACCCGCAGCAGCAACCGATCCAGCAGACTCCGCAGAACCAGCTCCCTCAGCCAGGCCCTCCCCAGCCAGGCGCCCTCATGGCCGCCCAGATCCCTGCGCTCCACCTCTACCCCCTCAACGACTCATTCGTCCCCAAGCAGATCTCACTTGCGCAGGGTCGGGTACGCATCGGCCGTCAGACCAATGCGAGAACAGTGCCCGGGGAGAGGAATGGGTACTTTGACAGCAAGGTGCTGAGTCGGATGCACGCGGAAGTGTGGGAGGAGAACGGCAAGGTACGATAGTGCTCATATGTCACACGATCTGCACTGCGGGCTGACACTGCTATATAGATCCTCATAAAAGACGTCAAGTCATCCAATGGCACGTTTATCAACTCGGAGCGGCTATCTCCCGAAGGAGTCGAGTCTGAGCCGTTTGAGCTTAAATCAGAGGACATCGTCGTGCGTAACCCTGACGCTTGATGACTGCATTCTCTCATAATATGCTCTGCCCTGCTTCGCGTCCTCCTCCCGTTCTATCACCCTCCTGACACCGTGACTGGATGACCTTATCTGTGCGCGTCTCAATATTTAGGAGTTCGGTATCGATATCGTCGGCGAGGACAACCGCACTATTGTCCATCACAAAGTGGCGGCCAAGGTGTACTGCATTCTCAGTCCCGAGGACCTCCTCGGGTCGCAGCGGGAGATGCAGTACCTGCGCAATCCCTCGAACCGACTGCCTCACCCCGTCATCAACGGCGCCGTACCTGGCCAGCAGGTCAATGGAGCGCCGAATGGCGCCCCCGGCCAGCAGCCACAGCAGCAAGGAGGACAGCAGCAACAAGCACAAGGACAGACGCTGGGCGGAATGGGCAGCGCGCGCGCACCGGGGAAGAGCGGGCTTACGTTCGACCATCTCCTCAGCAGGCTGCAAGGGGAGATCGTCAAGAGCCGCGAGACGGGTAATGAGCTGGGTATGATTGGACGGGAGATGGGTGAGATCGGAGATACCTTGAGCGGTGGATTGGTGCGTGTTGTGCTCTCTGACTATGCTGAATGCTGACGTCGCATGTCCGCGCATCTTTAGCCTCAGCACCCACCGCCTCCACCATCACATACTGGTCCTCCTCAACGCGAAGCATCCGGCTCCAACGTCATGCTTTCGACCCTCCAGACCCAACTACACGAGACACGCCAGTCCCTCGCCTCGCACGCCGACAAAGTCCGCACCCTTGAGTCGCTGCTGGCAGAGCATGATGCCTTGAAGCGCGAAGTCGCTGGCATGCGGGAAGCAATGGAGGAGAGCCGACGGCTTGTCGAAGCCTTGCGGCACGAGCGCGAGGCGGGCTCGTCCAAGTCCCTGGATGCGGAGGACTCGGACATGGACGACAACAAGAGCATCATGACGATCACACCGGATGATCTGGACGGCGAAGGCGAGGGGGAACGCGTGCCTGAGCCGGAACATGAACACGAGCCAAACGGACGGTCTCTCGAGCCGGAGAGGCAGGACGAACTCAGGCCGAGCACGCCTGAGCCGACCGGCCATGGGCTGGATGACGACGACCCACATGTCGCGAACGGACCGAACATCAACGGCACGGTTGCGCATCCTGCAGACGAGGATGTACCCGTGATCGTGTCGACCACTCTACCGCCCCTTCCACCTTCCCCACCGACCGCTCCAGCAGGATTGGTGGATCCGACTGCCGCTGTGGACTATATCAGCCGGTCGGAGCATGCTGGTCATCTCAGCTCTCTGATGACCCAGATCTCGGATCTTTCTCATCAGCTGTCGACGGCATTGTCAGTATCGAAGGAGCTGACCTCGCAGCAGGAGGTGATCCGCCACCTCGAGGAGCGGCTTGCCGGGTACGAGGAGTGGAAGCGTGTGGTTGACGAACGCGTCGGCAGCATCCAAGATCGCGTCGAAGTGGTTGATACATGGCGCAAGGAACGCGAGGAGGAGCATAAGCGGGAAGATGAGTGGGAGGCCGAGGAGCGGGATACGCTCTATGCCCTGCGGGATGGCGAGGAGCTCAGCCCGGGGTCGGACGGAGAGACTCCCGCTCAGGCTCCGAGGCCACGACGACGGAGAAAGTCACGAGGGTCCCGTCCGCCTGGCATGAACGGCTCTGCCCATGCACACATCGTTGGTGCTTCCCGGTCTGGCGCGCAACACGGCTCTTCATCCCCGTCCTCATCATCCTCTGAAACCCGATCAACAGTCCCTGGCAGGCGACACGTGACAAAGGCCGGCCGTGTACGCAGCGAGTCCCAGTCCACCGCCGTTGGTTCTGACCCCGCAAAGGAACGGGAAGGCTCAGAGGGCGACACGCTGGTCGAGTCGCTGCCCGACGTGGACGAAGCCGGAGAAAAGTCGCTGGTCGATTCTCCAGTTTCGGGCACGTTCCCTGGTGGCTCTCCGGACGGCAAGCACGGGCAGAAAACACATGGCTTGGCTCGATCAGGCGCGAAGGATCCGAGCGGTACCGGCGTGAGCTCCCCGTCACCTTCCGCACAGAGACG